TAAGGGAGCCAAGGCAGCTCCCCTAGTAAAGGTAGGCAGATAGATGACAATCAATCGCTTAATCGCTTTAGCTCAAGAGGTTCAATCTACCTTTCCTGAAAAACAATGGAAGACGTTTAACAATATACTGTGTGCCTCAACTGTGTGATGAAAATGACATTTCACCTAATTATCAGCACAATTTTCGGCGAGGACGCTCTGGATGTCAGGATCAGGGCTTTAGAAGATGACTTCAAAGTAAAGGCAGTGTACAGTCATTTCAACAAAGCCTGCGGCAATGTCCCGCGTCAACGTTTCTGACATAAACAGCATGTACCTATATCAAATAAGGCTTCTTCGCCAGAAAACCCTTCAAGATAATCTGCGCAGACAGCAATCATCGTCAGGGAGATGGTCTCTGAATGTCACTGTACGAAAATATCCCGCCTCCATCTGCGCACAACCAGCTGCCCTCTGAACGACAGCATGAGAACACATTACCTGAAAGATATTCAACTTATCGTGCGATCTTCGCGGAAAAACCTCGGTGAGTGGATGTGGGACAATTTGAAACCTTTATTGTGGTGTGTCAGTGGCGCAAGAAACGGCGTGGGGTACTGCACGAACTGAAAAGTGCGTTTATGGCTTCCGAAATGGACCTTTATAGAAAAGTTCACGACACCCTCATTCAACCTCGCTAAAAATGTTGCTTTTAGGCTTTCCGGCCACAGATCGTAGAGGACAAAATATGTTTTGCAGAAGGTGTGAATTCGCACAACAAAGTCAGTAAAAGGTCTAAAATGCCGACCGTATCAGGGAGGATAGGAGTGCCCTCAGCTATTCCCTCTGCGTTACAAACAGCAACGAGGGGATCTTCTTTTAGTTTACAAGATTATACATGCCCACGAGTGAGAATTGTGCTTTAAAGACATGTCTCGATGGCAACTCTTGCCTCCTTTTCGTAGATACTCACAGAAACTATGCATGAATTTCGCTTCGAATTCGTCACGCGTTGGGTAGTTGGGCGGCGGAATGATCTCTCTCAATCTGTTTTGGATGCACCGTTCCTGCGGGTCTTCAACAAACGCTTGGATAATTTCATGTGTGCCTTTTTTAGACACTCTTAACCCGGACTGTATACTGCGTCAACTTTGGGCAGAAGTTTGTTTAAAAACAAAGCTACTTAAATTATGTAGATGGTTTTCTTATGGTGTCCATTTTCAGAATGCGTGTATATACCGCACCGGGATTTAAAATGTTTTTCAAAGAGCTTGCCAATTACCTTCAAAATAAACTGAAATGAACTAAAAAAAACACCTTGGCGTAGGGAGAAGCGATGATGAGAAACAAAACAGGCGACAACGAGGAATCCGTTATGTAGTTAAGATTGTTATTTAGGCCAGTGATACAAGGGCCGGTTGCCGGTGTGTCGCGATTCGGCAGGAGGTAAGATAAAATGTCGCGCCGTTGGGCGGACCGGCTTTATAAACACTGCCTAAGAAAGAAAGGGAGAGTTGAGTTTTTGGAAAACACGGTCAGTCAAGAGCCATACTATCGCAAAATGCTATTGGATTGCGTATCGATTAGAAAGGGATGGGTAACGTTGAGAAGAGAACAGACGAAAGTGCACCGGATGGAAGGAGATACATCGGTCAATTCATCCGAAAGTTCCGTTCGCGGACACGGGATTCGTAATATTATATTCATGTCTCAGTGTATCAAGACGCTCGCTAAAAATAGCCTTTCCTTAAAAATTAGAAGGTATCGTTTGAAGGGGTCTTTGAGACCTTGATTCGCCCGCCTCTTGGGTAGGGGGTACACTCCTGATAGCACTGGGATAATGGCAACAGTTCTTGGAAAGGACCTAAATAGGGACATGAGCGATTTGGAGAACTTGAGGGCCTTGAACCGTGGATACAATGTCATTGCACTTGATCGCTTCCCCTTGGTTGACATACAAACTCAACATTTATTCATCCAGCCTATTAGATTGTCAGAGGGCCGAGGTTTTTCCCGCGGTACGAAGACTTCCTTTAAGTGCCGACGTAAGCAATGCTTCTTTACCCTTTCCAAAGTCCGAGGAAAGTTGTTGCGCGTCGCCTTTTTGACAGTTCTTCTCACAGTAAGTTGTCTTAGTTTCGCCTGCGCTATTACGATACATTATAATACCAGACACATTATAGGTATTTGAGCGATAGAGTTTTATTCAAATTATTCATGTCGTTCGAGTTGTGTCCTGCAGTTCGAGGGTCTTTCCGAGAATACCACACGGAGGAATACATGTCAAACTTTCCGAAACCTCTAGAAAATGGGCAAGTGCCGACTAGTTTATCCCTCCTGCAAGGTTAAGCTGTCTTGGCCCCGAGCGCACGTCCCGAAAATGCTATGCTGTTTGTCGTAGCAGGGGTGCTTAAACATTAGCTAGTTGTTGACTTATGTTAATTATCCTATCTTGGTTTGCAAATAAGTTGCAATCCATCCAATCGTTACTCTGGCCAGATAGCTTGTTGACTTCACTTTTCACTACTCCTCCTCACCAGAGGTTTCAATCCCACCAGCTCTGACGATCACAAAATGCGATTCCCGGGGCCATTCATCGGGAGAGGTTTATTGTAGGTCCGACGGATCGAGTAGTTAGTTTGCTTACCCATCTTCAGTGTCTTGCAGGTCATGCACACAGCCCTCATTCTATGGGGCACTTTGGTACGTAGCTCGCCAATGCCGCCTCTGTGCATTTAACCAATGGGCATTTCATCGTGTCCTGTGTGGCCTCCGTCTTCGTTGACTGCGGCGATAGTTGGCGGCCTGACTGTTCCTCTCAGGAATTTCAAAAAACAGTTAGGGGGCAAGCAACTTAACGTGGCGGTTGACTAAGCACTCGGTGGACATCCACGCTTCTTGCATTTGCCTTCCTGTATGACCATCACCTCGAGTCACTATCTCAACGGCATAAATGTTGAAAATGTGTTCTATCTGCGCAGCATGCGCTGCTATCTGTGTCCTTGGGTCCAGCCTTCGTACGGCAAACTGGTGCTTGTGCACTCGCATTTGTGGCTGTCGGCCGGTTTCGTCAGCGTAGTTGCGCATCCCCCAGCTGCACTTTACTCTTTAGGCAACGCCGATTCTTTTGCTTAAAGGTACGGTCTTTCAACCATATGGGTCGTTGGTGATTGTTGAGTTAGTCCTCTGGAGCGCGAGAGATCTAACCACGGTTTCGGAGACCCCTTTTGTAAACGAAATGCCCCGCCATGACTTCGGCTGACCACGCTCTTTCTTCCGATTTTTTGTGACATTCGGCTCAGTTCAACGAGAGCCTGCGGATAGCTGCTGGGTCTGAAGAGTTTCCCGAAAAGCTTTATCTCGCCCCGTTTGGTGTCCTCCTGACGGCACTGCTCTACGGAGCGGAGATCTGAACCGTCCACTACAACCATGCCAATAAACTCGACCACTTCCATCTTAGTCATCTTCGTTGATTACTAAAGCTGAGATGGCAAGACAAGATTCCCGGCACGAACTTCCTAGAACGGACCCGAATCCTCAGCATTCACACCACGTTGGGGCAACTGCATCTACGTTGGAGCGGCCATCCCATGAGGATGGAAGATACATGTCTTCCAAAACGACTCTTCTATGGTGATGTCGCCATTGTTACAAAGACAGCCTTACAAGGACAATTTGAAGAACTCTCTGAAATGACCGTAGATCAACCTCGGGAACCTGGGAGGACCTCGATCAGAACTGACCGAAATGGCGAAGAGAAGTGAGGGCCGAGTTCGTTATCTATGAAGCAAAGCGGATCGCCGTCGTTAAAACCAAAATGGAGGCTCGCTTGTTGCAAGTGCCTCAACTCCTCAATGCCAACAGTCGGCCGTTTCAAGCGAAGATGCGAGTTCCAGCAACCAGTTGATCAGAAGAAGAAACGATCGCTGGAACAAGGGCTTTATTCGCCTGACGTTTCGGGTTCTCACTTTAACGCATTTTTCAGAGAAAATGGCAGAAAAGAGTGACTTGTGCACAGGAACTTGCAGTATTTATTGGATGCAGTCGCTATGCTACCGCATACCTATAGCAATTATCCGCGCTCCCCTTCATCAAGGATTGTTGCCCGCTGGTGCGTTAATTGCTTGATGGCCGGCATGCAAGTTGTTAATTGCTGACATCTCATCACCCGTGTTGGATGCTGGCGTGATGATTGCTTGGCCATCTGGCTCACGTGCTTGCGCGCTGCTCGAGTGGTCAATTACCTTGGTTAGCCTATGCCTCAGCACGGAATATGGAGTGGGGATGTCGTTGCACTTGTTGATAGACTGAGGTCCCGTGAACCTTGACTCAAGTAACTCGCGGCTCACTCGATTATTTTCTCTCGCGAGAATTTCGGTCTCATCGAACTTGAATGTGTGGCCGGGTCTCGTCGAATTGGCCGCGACCTGAGAGTTGGCGTCATTTGTCCGCACCAATGCCGCGTGTTCGGCAATTCGCGTCCGAAGCAGTCTTCCAGATTCTCGGACGTAGTTGCTTTGTTCACAACTGCACCAGATCCGGTAAACGACTCCAGATGTTTCTTGCTATTGCAGTGGGTCTTTTAGTCTCATCACCTGACGCCTTATGGTGGCCTCCGGTCTGTGTGCAACTCCAACTCCAAGTGGTGCGAGTAGGCGACTAACGGCCTCAGAGTCGTTCTTGATGTACGGGATCGCTCGCCAGAAATTTGGTTTGGCACGGTTTTGGCGCTCGTCTCGTTTGCGCATGCAGCGGTCGACGAGGTTGTCCGGGTAACCATTTTCTCTGAAAACCCGTCGAAGATATTGGGATTCGGCAACCTTGTCTTCCGGTTCACTGCAGTGCGTCTCAACACGCCGATATAGCGTTCTTACGCAACTGCGTTTGTGGCTGATTGGGTGGTTACTGTTGAAGTTCAGTATTTGCGTCGTGTTCGTCGCTTTTCTGAACACTCTGGTCTTTAGGCCACCACAATATTTGCGACAGACGAGGACATCAATGAATGTCAGCTGGTTATTTTCTTACTCCTCCATCGTAAATTGTATGTCCGGGAAGAGGCTGTTGAGACGTTCTTTGAACGTTAGCACTTGATCCCGTTCGATGACGACGAAGGTATCGTCCACATACCGAGTCCGGAATTTCGGTCTGTGGTGTTGGACGACCAGCGACTCCAATAGCTGTAGGACCGCCTCGACGATGAATCCCGAGATCGGCGAGCCCAGTGGTGTTCCATTCACCTGCTCGTAGATTGGTCCGTCCAACGTGAAGTACGTCCTGAGACAGAACATTAGGAGCCGAAGGACTTGGGCATGTCCGAGACGATTCTCCGTTCCATTGTATTTGTTCCGTAGTAGTAGCTCGACGGTCTCGATTGCCAGATCCTGTGGGATAGAAGTAAAGAGGGACGTGACATCAAAAGATAACATGACCTCATTTGGCAAGAGACTTACTCCATTAAGCTTCTCCGGGATTTATGTTGACGAACAGACGGTAGTGTCCGAATCAGCGGTCAGAAATTTGAGGCGTCGAAACAGTCATTTCGCTAGTCCGTACGTTGGAGTGCCTTTGAGCGATACAATGGGCCGGAGAGGAGCGTCCTCCTTGTGCACCTTGGGGAGACCATAGAATCGGGCCAAGGCCGTTTCTTGGGCTCTCGCATGCGTCGGTCGGTCGATGTCATTGCACCCGAGTTCTCTAGTGCCAACAGTGTCGCATTAATTTCGCGTGTCAGCGTCTTTACGGGGTTGGTTTCACATGGGACATAAAACTGGCGATCCTCTAGTAGGTCTTTGGCCTTCTGAAGGTAGTCTGTTTTGCCCAGTACGACGGTGGAACGGCCGTTATCCGCGGGCACGATGACGATGTCCTTGTCGGCCTTGAGTTCTCTTAGTGCATCGCGTTCGACCTTTGGGAATATTTCCCGCGGTTTGTGGGTCATAAGGCGGGACGACATTTGGTGTCGGATTAGGTTCTCTGTCTCCTCCACCGCTTCCGTCTGATTAATGACCGATCCCACAGCTGCAATCATGTTGACAGGTTTGGCGTCAGCTGTGTTGAATGAGGCTTCGTGCCGTAAAATCTGTACTTGCTCCTTCGTCAGTTCCTTTGACGACAGGCTGTGTAGCAGTGTGCCGCCTCTGGATGACGTCGGATCAGGCAGTTTGTGGAATTTTTTCCCCAGTGCTGCATCGCGTTTCGCTCTCAGCACACGGGCTTGTTCAGTCATCTTCTGCTAAAGCAGATTGTCATCAAACCTGTCCTGGCGGAGACAGCGTGCGGAGCCAAACATTGCCAGTGCTTTGGCCTGTATGACGTATGTCACTGGGACTTTATGAGCCTCCAGCGTTTACATTTCCCCCGTTCGGCGTTCATACAGTTACTGATGTCCCAATGGGGTTAAGTCAGATAAATTAACACAGTATTCAAACTTCATGACGTAAATTTACCCTGCGGTTGAAGCTTCCCCTTGAAGATGTCAATAAGGGGATTCGTCCAGGAGCCAGTGCTGCACATTGCCTTAGTCACGAGCACATCACGCTGGTCACACTTCCGAACTAGGATGTATTCCAGCAGATGCCGGTAACGCCAGCGAGCGTGGATCCACATGGTCTCACTGCGCTTCGGAGGACGGGAGAATGTGCTGGTCAGGAGTGGATTGTGTTCCGCTCAGGCCTGCTGGAGGAGAAGGTCGTTGCTGTTGCAGTTGCCGATCCCACAGCAACTGTGTGCTAACACGGACACTGAGTTCACCAACGACAGCCAGTTTACCCCTTCTCAGCCAATTTCAAGGAGGGTGTTCAGAACTTTGTAGAATCTGTTCTCCGCGTCATCGGAACTAGTCATTGGATGGCACAGGCTCTGACGAGGATGGTGGCAATTGGGCCCTTTAGATTGGCAGACGTGTGTTCCGAGACGGCCCCGGACCTCTTGTGACAGACAGGAGACCGTCTGACAACGTCAAGGACTTCTACTGCTTATCATCTGCCCAACAAAAGTGCGTATCCCCCCAAATCCCCCAACTGGCACTGTTCAGAGCAGCCGCTTCCACCAACGGTCCCACTGCCCACTTTGCGTCCGACCGATTTGAGAACGACCAAGAAGGAGACGAACATTCTAGACTATCCGGATTGAGCTCTGTCACGCTGGAAGCCTGTAACGAGACATGGGGGTGGAGACAGGAGTCGTTTTTTTTCTGGTAGCTTTTGCGTCCACAGACAGGGACTAGCGTGCTGAGGGCGTACTTTGGTGGCAAATTTGCGGCGCCTTTTGGTTCTTGCAGTATTCACCACAATTTAATTACATCCAGGCTTAACCATAAGGGTAAGCCTAAAATACCGTTTCTACCAAATTAAAATAAACAGGCATGCTACCGCAACAAAAACATGGGCCTAAATACTCTATCCTCGCCAACATCTGTCATAGGGGAGGGACAGAAGGGAGTTTGAGCATAAGTTCGAGAGCTACCGGGTGTTAATACACGCGCAAACCAGATATTCTTATCTTGTTTAGCCAGCCGTTCATCGTTGGTTCCCAAACTGTGACCGCTGGGCTGCGTACGGTTTCGTGAAGCCTCACATGAGAGCTGGATGCCGGTAGTGGTCGAGGTATAAGCAGACATCAGACCGTCGATGTGCTCGGAAGAGGCTGCTTGCAGATACCTATTATCACACTAATCGCGCTTATGCTATATCATCGTGCATGACATTTGCGGACACCGTATCTGAGGCATAGTGTATTCGTCAGTTTATTATTGTGCAATGTTCATCCAGACGCATCCACGAAACTGGAGTGACCGTACAAATACACCGTGGGTTCCTGCACACGGCACCCTCTTAACCGAAGTTTTTTGTGCTCTTTCTGAAAGACGCGAATTCGGAGGTCAGAGTTTTGGTTTGAGTAAAATATTTTCTGGTTATGATTCAGGACACTCAGTTTTTCAAGTCCGCCTCCTACTGCAGATTACTAACAACACGCCGTACTTGACTAGAAGGTGTGATCACTCAAGAAAATGCCTACGACTGAATTCTATTTGCCAGTGCATTTCTTGAAAACAGCATGAGTTAAGGCCATGCCTGGCTAGAAAGCATGTCTGAGAAATCCACCCACGTAGTAGTTTGTCCTCCGCCACTCTCTTGACCTGTCTGGTAGGTCGGCTGAATATGTGATGGGCACTACGACAGCTAGAGCGCAAGTTGGTGCCAGTTGATCTAGTTCGAGGTTTTGTTCAGCCGAACAAGTTTCGTGGCTACTCAACGCGTCTGCTAAATTAACAAGAGGAACGATTATAATCAGCACAAACCTATTTTTACTAGTTATCGACCTTACTCTCCGCACATCGCACTGCATTGATGTGTGTTGGGAAATGTACAAGAGTTCGAAAGAGATTTGAGTCCATGAAACAAATCACGAAATGCACGTGGCGCGAAGTGATTTTCTGATTTGATGTTGAACTGACGTACATTTGTTTTGATTTAAAAAATTATTTGTCTAGGGGGTATTTAGAATTAAATAAAGGGTCCTAACAGAAAGATTTCTAAATAAACACCCATTAGTTGACAAAGTTGGACAACATGAAAGTCGGATTTTGGCTTCCGGATAGACCTAACATTTGCCTTAGGGAGCAAAATTATGATAAAGAAAGTCAAACACCAAAACGTAGCTTAGGTCATCAACCTTCTTGTCCTGCACGTGTACGCATCTGTAGCATAAGGACGGGATGGTGTTTTACGCCAGATTTTTAACAACAACACTGCACCAGGACAACGGTAAGGCTAACCTCGTTGTGACGAATCTGATACAGGAATCAATTCACTATGCTATATTCGTCAAATGTGGTCAAGAAGGTGCATTTAAGAAACGAAAACTATGCAAGAACAGACAACAGCGATCGATAGAAACTTTGCAATCATGTATTCCTGGTTCTTAGGTTAAGAGACCAAACCCTTATTGACAATCCTCAAATGTACAATCTGGCAGTTGTCGGATCCATTTTCTGCGGACTTGGATCAACCAACTATCGAATTCCCCTTTGACCGAGCAATGCAGGTGAACGTTATCTGCTCGAAAAATTGGATGCACATTGACAGCAGAGGTGACCGAACCATCTTTTGAGCAGAATGATGCACCTACATTTGGGCGGGAAGTTGGAGTTCAGTGTCGCGAGGAACGAGGTCCACCGTATGACGCGTGCCTTAGACGCAGCACCGGTGACCTACGAGTGAGTCCGTTTATAAGAGAGCAGACTTGTGAAGCATCTACTTCACTCACTAAACTCTCACCCGCTATCCACTGATGGCAAGACAATGTCAGGAAGACCGAAGGTGGAGTCGGCTGCAGTGGCTGACAAAGCCGAAAAGCTTGTCCACATGTGTCACACACGACCTGGTCACCGCAAAATGTGTCACAGTTTTATAGAATAGGTGACAGCTCAGATTTCACGTTCGCTAGAATGCCATGAAGGCCATATTCAGATGGAACCACTGGACCTGAATCTTGGTTTTCGATTCACTCACATTGTAGACACACAACACAGACACGACAATTTAACCGTCGATTTCGACGATGTCCATCGTATGCTCCACAGAAGCGTGAGAGCAGGACTGAAGTCTTATGCTCATCAGAGTGTCTTCTGGTATATAGACTCCAGTTCCACCCTGCCTTGTTTGATTTCCGAGGAAATTAGTGAGCGAATTTGGCTTAAATCTTTTAAAGTAAATTCAGGCACGTTCGCAAAGTTGCTATTAATAGTTGAGCTGAAATTATCCACCGGCTGCGATTCAGTGCAGTGGATGCGAGGGACACTGTATGGAGCGTTCGGTGGCGGTTGGTGCATTACCGCCGTTTTGTCCGTGATGACGGCCAGTTCGAAATAGGTAAACTCGACCACGTAGAGGTCCATGCCCCGTTGCATGTCAGCCTCTGACGCGATGCTAGGCACGCACTCGTCCGCGGATGTCAGATAGAGGACAAGAGTAGTGGAGAGACAGGTTGTGCCTTGCATGCGTCAGTCGTTGAGTAGATGCCTGTCGGCCCTGTGGACGATGCGGATGAATACGGACAATGCGTACGATGCAGACGATGAGTACGCAGCTCTGCTTCACTCCATCGGAGTTTGTTCTGTTGTCCGTGACGCGCGCCATCATTCCGTCGAAGAATTGATGCATCATGTACGTAAGTCGCCCGGGGCGGACAAAGTTCTGCATGATTTTCCGCAGATCATCGGAATTCACCATGTCAGATGCCCCTGTTAAGTCCACAAGGGTACTGTAGAGGTGGGTCCGCATTTGCAGGCCAGTCTTTTGTAGCTTGTGTGCGGCGAAGATCATGTCAGTGGTTACGCGGCGGCGCTGGAATCCGCACTAACATTCCGACAGTTGTCCTTGTACGAAATTTCTGTTGAGACGGTTAAGGAGGATGCGAACGAAGATTTTCTGGATATGTTAGGCGTTAAAATGTCTCTGCGATTATCACGGAGTTGCCGGAACTCCTTCCGTTTGTAGATGTGGACAGTTATCATATCCTTGGAATCTTGATGAACGTTTCCTTGGTAACACCTCTATTGGAATCATGTTGTGAGTTGACCCATCTGCCGGGGTCGATGTGCTTGTAAACTTTCGCCGAAATCGTGTCAGATCCCGATGCTTTCAAGCTGAAGTCGAGCGATCTAGATCGACACTCGTTTTCAATTTGGGCAGTCAGTCACTGGTGGCATCGGAAATCGTGGAAGGACAAATGAGGACGCCTCTGAAGTGCTCGGTCCAGCGCTTCAGAGCCTATGACCTGTCTCTCAGAATTGCTATTCAATGGAGTTGGCAAACGATGCGGTCCCTTCGGTTGGGGGTGGGAACGTAGATCGCTTTGAGTGATGCAAGGAAATTCCTAAGTTTCTTGTGGCCGGTATATCTTTGGATTTCCTCGGCCTTGTTGACAATCAAGGCGTCTTGCATCTCTCTGAGTAGCTGCTGCACGATAGCGGAAGAAGGCCTCCTTGTTTGCGGTGGTCGGATGGTTCATGTAGGCTTTGTGCAGCCTGTGCCTTTCAGCGAGCAATTAGCTGATGTTAATGTCGCCGTCGAACCAGTCCTGATGTTGGCGACGTGGGCGACCGAAGATATCCAAGTCCGCGGTTGATATCGTCGAGTCACCACGGAGGCGTTTTCATCGAGAGTTTGCAGGTTGTTGGGTAGGTTGATTGCTGTAATAGCGACGACGAGGTGGCAAGTTAAACAGAACGATGTATAGCTTTCCTGGTGGTCGCTTGCGATCTCGTCTCCTGTGGAGTTAAAGATGGAATCCCATCTCGGAGATTACGAGGCGACGGTTTGTCCAACTGTCGTGGTCGTAGCTAGTCTTAGACTGCCCTGCCGATTCAGCCTCCAGCCTAGAAGGTAATCCAGCAGATGTCAGCGTCGCGATCGTGAATGGATCCGGGTCGCCATCTTCCGCATCAGGGGACGGAAGAAATGCTTTGTCAGAAGAAGGCCTTGTTATGCGCAAGTTCGCAGAAGAAGTAGGACGATGTCGTTGCGGCCGGTGATTTCGTGGGACCCGACAGTCCACCTCAGACAGTGTAGTCTGTACCGAAACGGACGTTGAAGTCACAAAAACCAAACCATCTTGTCCAAATTCGTTACATTCACGGGGACGGCGTGCAGCGCCTCGTAGAAATGTCCTTTCCTCTCATCGAAGCCAGTTATTTTCGGGACGCAGGCTCTGACGCTGGCGGAGAACTGGGATCCCAGAAGAGTCTATGCTCATGAGACAGTTGTTGACGACTGTAACAGACAAGGCAGTTGTCCCACATGTTCCTTCCGGATGGCAAACACCACGTCCGCGATCCACTGTCGGAATGCCGGTAACGTTATCACCCCAACGTTATCGTTGGGCAGTGTCGGCAGGTGGAACGGTTGTGACGGATGTATAATAGGGGTTGTTAGTACTGGTTTGCCAGTATCAGTGCACTGAATTCTCAAGGTTTCGAATAGGTCGATGAGTGAGGCAAATGTGCGCTGGCAGCAGGAACGACATGGAACTCCGGTTAGGGAGCTTGCTATGTGACAATGTTGCTATTGGTGGTGAGGCTGGTGGCGGCAGTGCATTTTGTAGTGCTGGTGGTGACGAATATTTTAGGTTTTGGTGGTAGGTTTGCTGTGGTGTTATTGCTGTTAATTCCATCGTCACGGATACCTTTATAGAAGGGCACTGTTGGCATTTGAGGAGGGCGTGACGGATGTGTGTCTGTCTGCAGGCGCTAATTGGCCAGCCTAAGGACGATGGATCGGCCAGTTACCGAACAGTCCTATACATGATGAGAAAATGCAAATGGAATAAAGGCAGGCTCGAAGTGATTCTACAGTGTTGGTGTTAGGTATAACGGGGGTGGTGTTTTTCAGTACGGTAGAAGCGCCCTTAATGGTGTTGCTAGTGGCGGCATTAACGGTGATGTTTTTTAAGAGGAGGGTTCAACGAATCGACATTGCATGGGCTCCACAGACGTCCAACATGGCCAATTCGTGTCAGATATGTCCGTTAAGAGTGCGGACAAGATGGCAGTGGTTGGGTGCCTAAATTGCTGTTCGGTAACCCTTGAGTGTTATGGGTCTTTCCTTTAGCCCTACCAGTGGTTATTCGGTTTGTAACAAATATGGCTGCTTCAGTCATCATATCAATGCGTCACGTCTATCTATCATGAGCGAGGTCATCCTAGATCACTGGTATGGTCTGTGATGCATGAGCAAAGTTTTCCATGATGTCCTTCTAACGATGCATACGTTTGCCTTGTCTGCTATTGCCCACAGCTACGTCACTGGGCATGCTCTCGTAATACATCCTCACGACGTTGATGCTCCATCGCAATCATATCCGCCTCAGTTCTGCGTGGATACAGCGTAGACCTGAGGAGGAGTTGTTGGGTCCAGCTTATAGGTTTGCCGTGGTGATATTGCTGTGAACCCCATCATCATGGATACCTATATGGCCAATTAAACTCCTATGGTGTCTGAGTGCTAGGAGTGCATGACGGATATGTGTCCGTCTACAGGCACTGGTTCGCCAACCTCCGTGCCGTGGACCCGCTGGTGGCCGAACAGGCCTGTACGCGATGAGAAGGTGCAATTGGAAGGAAGACAGGGTATAAATGACTACACAGTGTTGGCGGTTAGTACGACGGTGATTTGTTGCAGTTCACTAGCAGCATCCTCATTGATGTTGCTAGTGGCGGATTTAGCGGTGATGTGTTGTGAGCTAAGAGTCGGGTTGGCCGAGTCGACATTGCACTGGGTCCACAGATATCCAACGAGGGCGATCCGTATCAGGTATGTCAGTTTACAGTGTGAACACGATGACAGTGGTTGGGTACTTGAGTTATTGGTCCGTAGCTCTTTGAGTCTTGTGGGTCTCTCCTTTTGGCCTAACAGCGGCTATTCGGTTGGCCTCAAACATGGCTGCCTCAGTTTTTACGTCAGTGAGTCACGCCTACCTATCTGGAGCTAGGTCTTTCGCGGAGGCAGTCGAGTTGGAAATGGCTGAGACTCTTTGCATGGCTTTCACAAACATTACATGTCTCCGCCCCGCATAGGATCATTGTCACGACAACGGTCCTGTAATTCGCATTATTGTGTCGAGTAAGATGCCTCAGGGGTTCCAAACGGAGTGCTTTAGTCGGCCAAATGTTTTAACAAATGTGTCATGGGATACGCCT